TGGACTGTGTAGCTACTTTGAAAATTCAACTGCAATATTCCAGGCTGATTCATAATTATTCAATGAATTTTCTATTTACAACTTTACACACATTGCCTCGGTATTATAATCTCGTTTATGTGATGTTTATGGCACAAAACTGGCTAAAAACGGACTCTTCTTATTTTGCGACGACCACTAGACACATCGTACCTTGCGACGTGTTATAAGCCCTTGTCAAGGAACTTACGACGCGTTCAACACATCGCCACTTTCATGAAATGGATTATACGACGCGTCGCGAGTTGCGACGTGTTGCACGTCGTAACTCGAGTTGCGACGCGTCGCAGCGCTTCGTGAAATCGGGTGCTGAATTCATACTTCCACGGTAATCGATGCAGTCTTGCACAAACATGACAAAAGGCAAATTTACTGCACACGTTTGCATGTGTACCAGTCTACAATTAAAGGTAATATATACAACATTTGCTTTTGCTGTTATTTTCAGAAATGGGCAGATTTGGGGGCAAGTACATGTATTTTATAGCAAATACCGTTCCACTGACCTGCTTTGAAAGTTCTGTGTTCAGGAATGCCGGAAAAAAAAGTCGTTCTTGTAGTCTGGTTCCCTGTCCCTACGCTTCAGACAAAACTGGACAATTTATAGATGTCAGACAATTGTCAGGTCAGGGAACCAGACTAGCTGGCTTATAAATGCCCATTCAAGGTTATGTTAGGGACTGCAAGCAAAATGCCGACCAACTTACTTCAGTCAAATGGCGGTAGTATTTGAAAAAACAATTTTTTTTTTCCAACGATGGTTGGTCGAACCATCATTGGAAAATGATAGAAAGTTCCTCTTTTCTTGAAAATGACAGCATACCAGACGCAACGATTACACGTTACAAAAAAGGAGTGAATGTAACTTTCAAATTCAGCAGGTGAGTTATGTACTAAATTATTTGTTACCAATCACTTCATGTATTGTTGATGTACCCTAACGTGGCGCGGCCCCCAACGTGGCGCACTTTGATTTTTCGCCTGTAGTGCCTAGCTAGAGCAAAAGTTTTAACTGAAATTTCACAGAAAGTGAAATTTCATCAAGTTCTTAACACTCCCGTTCATAAATCGCGAGTTTATTTACCCGTTACAAAATTAGAAGGAAATTTTTTTACAAAATTAGAAGGAAATTAGAAGTGCAAAGTGAACCCTTCGAAAATGCCCCGAAAAATATGAAAAAAAAAATTCTGACAAACATCTGGCTGGGTATGTAACTAGAGATAATAATTATTTATCAGAATTCATCAAGTTTACAGAAATTCTTAACTGTTAATTTGGAATTTTCCCAGATTTATTTAAGTGCGCCACGTTAGGGAACACTCCGCCAATTTGTGCCCAATTTTCGGACGCCACCGTCTTTGAATTTCGGATTAAATTTTATGAAACCGAAATTTTTCACAGAGGCTAAATAGCAAGCATTAATAAGGTAAAGTACTAGTATTTTACTGCATGAATTTGAGGTTTGTTAACAAAGAGGTTTGGCAACACTACACAAGGAAAGTTGGGTAAGCTTCGAAGTGCGCCACGTTAGGGAACACGACTATATACAAATGTGCATGTAGATTTAACAATTGAGCAAATGCTGTATTTATGCATTCCATCCGTCCAGATGTTAACATTTTGGACTGATGCATGATTCGTGTATTCATATACTGAGCAATTTCCTTTCTTTTTCTAAATGGTGAAGTTGCAACTTCAGCCTGCATGCATTATGAAGGTGTAGACATTGTGCCTTTCTTTCAAGTTGCTCCATGCTTGTTGCTTATATTTTATGAACTATAAATTGACAGCGTGAAAGTTTCCAATATAATTTTGAAAAGAAATTAGAAGTAATGTATACTGGTACTTTGCATTTTATTTTAAATGGAAATAAGATTGCTGAATGTGATATGTATTCAGTCTGTTTTGTGGTTCTGAAAATGTTGTTTTGACTAAAACAAATTTAAACAAAAAAGGGTAAAGTGGTGTCCAAGTTGTTATCATTCACACAAGACATTCTGGGTAGTGTAATGGGTAGCTTTGTTAGCTAACAAGCTGTGTTATTTACCGACAGGTTTGGTGAGAGTACATGTATGGGAGGGGGGTCGAAGAAATTCAGTTGATTCCTTGTATTAAGTAGTGCTAGTGCTGGGCATATGTACATGTAGTTATGCAGTGAATTATGATAAAATCCATGCTACATGTATACCCTTGGCCAGGTATCATCCAGCTTTGTACAGTTTCATATTGAATAAACCATCTTAAATTTGTGCGACTCAAACTGTTATTAGTAGTAATTGCTTACTAACAAGTACAACATGTTTACACTAATTCAGGCCTATTTGAGGTGCCATCCATTTTCATTATGAAGAAATTTGCAGGAAACAAATTTGTTACATGATGAAGATATTTATTTTCAAAGTGCTTGTAACAGTTCCTCTTAAAGGCTATATGAAAATATGGAGGTGTTTTTCAACAAGTACATGTAGGTATACTAAATACCTTTTACAAATAAGAAAAACACTGAGCAATCTTCAACTGGCAAACATTACATTTTATCAGCTGAAAATTTACTCTTGTTCCTCTGTGAAAATCAAAATACAAATCTGCAGTGTTGCTCTTGCATTGAGGGCAATATCTTTTAAAGTGAACTTCAATACATGAAATACAAGAAAAAATGTAAAGGTACCGTAACCTTTGATGAACTTTGAAAAGCTTTGCAGATTTATGTTTAGAAAATTGTCAATTTTAGTGGAATGGTGGAATCCGCCCCTTCAACTTTTTTTTTTTTTTTTTGCGACCCGAGCTGTCCTGACTTTTTAGCCTCGAGTCTTGCACATCTTTTGATACCAAATACATTAAGTTCGGACCGCGGGTTGTCGCGCAGCAAAAGTTTTTCTGCCGCTATGCGCTGTGAAAACTTAATTTCCCCTTAAACGTAGTGTACACAAAGCAGAATTACCATTGGTGCATATGAATAATTAATTTGCCATAATTCCAAAACCCTTTGACCTATAGTCATGAAATTTCTTGGGTATGTTTATATTTGTTCTATGCATGTACCGAGTTTCACAATTTTTCGTCACTCGATGGCCGAGATCTGGGGGGGGGGGGAAACGATGTGCAGAATCACACCCCCCCCCCCCCCTCTGCTGTGAGCTGGTCAAAATAACCCGGCCCTTTTAGGGTTAAAGCCGAAGCTTTGTGCTTTTCAATGATACCTTGGGTTCATTCCAGGGTCAGGCATCATGGAGCACCATTGTCTTGAAGTTGTGGTGCAAAAATGCAGTTGGTTCACTTTCATTCTGGCCTTCAGACAGTGTGTCTTTGTGGTCAAGAAATTGCATGAAACCAGAAGTTTGCAGGCTACACAGCATTCCAAGACTTCTGCTGTTAAGTGTTTTGGAAAGATTCCCATATCTGGCCATCACTTGTCACCCTGTGCACAAACCCTATGGGACTGGTCTGAAAATTCGTGTTTTCTACGTAAAAGTTCAAAATTTGTCCCTGCTAATTTTGACTTTTTAGGACATATTATCACTTTCTGTGAAAAATTACTGATGGCTAGATATGGGAATCTTTCCAGTGTTTTACTCATGATTCGTGAATAAAATCCATGAATAAAAAGCATGAAATCTGTGTTGATTTTGTTCAGCAGGAAAGTGAACCAACTGCATTTTTGCACCACAACTTCAAGACAATGGTGCTCCATAATGCATGACCCTGGAATGTAACCCAAGGTATCACTAAAAAGCACAAAGCTTCGGCTTTAAGATGATACCATGCTTTTTGCTGGTAAACATACAGTCTGGCCATAATAACCCTTTGAAGAAGGATTACCTTTTTTTTTTGACACCCTGTATTGAAAGCTTCATAAATACATGTACATGTAGGCCCAAAAAATACAGCCTGTGCATTCACAGTGTTGGGCATAATTTACAGCTGATATAAAGCACATATACATGTAACATTGCATAAGAAGACATCTCCAGTAAACTAGAGGTTGTAAGTTCAAGTCCCGTCTCAGAAAACTTTTTGTTTTCTTCTCTTCCCAATTGGCCTTTTATAAATAAAATGTCAGTGAATGTCAAAGCCCAATATGAACCAACTGAGTTGTTACTTGTTCAGTTTGAAAACTGTCTCTACATCAGGCACAAGCCGCCAGTAAAATGGTTTGGGCTTGTGGCCGTCATACGCACAGTTTTCATGGCAACATGTACCAAGCAATAATAACCCAAATATAAGTCATTAGCCCACTTGTCCCTCTACCGCTCCAAATCCCCATGGCTGTTACTCCATATACTAACCCAAACACTGTACTGTTTCATCGGAAATAAATACAATGTAATACAATACTGTACTAGTGCTAATGGGTCAAACAATAATTTAATTGAAGTATGGCTTGGCTCGTCTCAAATATATAAAATTCATAAATACCTAAGACAGTTTACCTATTCCTATTGGTCGAGAGCCCGTCACGTGGCCGGTCTTAAACGGATGATAAAGACATGGCTATAGCTGGTCTTAAACACTTTTCCAGTGTCACATGAAATTTGGACTCCTAAAAATCCAGTGCCTCTTACCGTTTTATTGGTTGAGCGTTCATAATACTCGCGTAGGCATGCGCAATACTACCAGTGAGTCAGTATTTTATAGTCCTAAATTCACAACGCAACGCCCCAGGTGCATTCTGCGCGACGTCGGGCAGTACGCGCGACACGCGCGTCAATCTCCTTATCAGGTAAGGAATTGTAGAGGGACATTCCATATAGTTATAGTCAGAGGGGTGTTTGATACAACATGAAGTAAAATTGTTGAGCAAAATAGTTAGCAATGTCTAGTTTTTGACTTGTTTTGACTTTTTTACCGAAAAGGTATTTATGAATGGAAATAAATGTGTGTTCGGTCGGTATTAAACACTCTGTTTAAGACCGGTTTGAGTCTGGATGGGCGATAATTACCCTCGGCTTCGCCTCGGTAATTATCGCCCATCCATACTCAAACCGGGTAATTATCGCCCATCCAGACTCAAACCGGTCTTAAACAGAGTGTTATAACACCTCCCGAACACACATTTATTCCCTTGATAAAACATATTTCTCCACAGGCTCATTTCGTGACTTCCCTTTCCCTACCCTCCCAAGCTCTACTTTCGATCTTGACTAACCGTTCTCTAAATTCACTTTAGCTCTTGAAAATCTTCCTTGGAGGACCATCATCTTCGAAATCTTGCCTGGCCGACTTCTCTTCGTCTTTCCGGAGGTCCTGGTTGGCAATGGGAAAAGTCTTTTACTTACTCATCAAATGACTCAGGAATTTTATTCAAGCCCTCCTTGTACATGTTAGTGCATGTACTGGAGAAATTTGTTCTGCTTTATATAAAGAAAATAGTTGTTAAAAAGGAAAACTAAGGACAATCCTACCCAAGTCCTGCAACAGGATATCATGAATGAGTAAATGGAAATAAAAGGAAAATATCAAGGCTACTAATCTTCATCTCCACTGGATAGAAGAAAGGATTTCTGAATGTCGTTAACCTTTTAGTCACTGTGGTGCCTGAAACCACCCTGCTTATTACCCACTGTAGCGCCCGAAACAGCTCAAGCACTCTATGGTTTTATTGATTTTTCAATGAATAAACACAATGTAACAGGTCTCTCTCAAATGACTCAAAGTTCCTACAGATTGTCTCGTGCATCGACATTTTGGGCATCAAATTTTCATAACTCTGCCGTATTTCGAAGAAATTTCGAGCAACACGCGCGTACATGTATGTTAAGATTATGTTGCACACTGCGTGCGCACAAACGTGATGGCGTTGAACATGCAGTTTTAATTGCAGATGGCATCCTATGAGAGAGATCTATACAATGTAGTACAAGTGTTAATGGGTTAAAAGACAAGGGCTATCAATTTCATGGAGAAAGGCCTGCTTAGCAAACTTATGTGCTTACAAAAACTTAGCAGAGTACCAGTCAGCAAACATATATACATGTATATCACATATGTTGGCTGGTAGCCTAAGTATTTTGCCATTAGCATTTTTTTTGTGCTAAGCAAATTTCTGTGCTTACCTACGCCATGAAATGTGACCTCATTTTTTCAACCGGTTATCAATTATTTGAATAAAATATTTTAATTTCTGTAAAGGCTGGTTCATAATATCAACAACAGCACTTTTCCATTTTCACTATTTACATGAATTTGCTTCCTTCTAAATTTCATGTGAACAGTTTCTTAGCGACCAATCACAAGTACATTTTTCAATACTTCCATACCTTTAAGACTTTGATTAAGTCATCCACAGCTGGCCTATCAGGAGGTGTTTTACTGCAGTGTATGAAGGCTGTGTTGCCATGGCGATCAACAACAAGATCCCCACCCATCTATGGCCAAGAGAAAAATAATAAATAACAATTTTTAATCAGAGACCACTGGAAGAGACATTGGAACTGATCAAATGAAATAATAAACTGATCAAAAATTAATATTTTAGCAACCCATTTCACGAAACAATGCGTTACTTACGCCATGCGTAGGACTTAACGCAACAAATTTATTGAGCAGCTACGCAATGATCGATTTCATGAAACTTGGCGTAGCTACGCAACGTTTAAAATAATCTAAACATCTTGGACAAGGATAATAGCGTTTACAACGGCTGTTTGTGTGTCGTTTTGTTTGTTCATGAAACAGTTGTTGAATCATCCGCCAGCCATTTTGAAAACATTTTGTATGACTTTCTTCGGAATCATGCGGCAAACTCTTTTCCAAGTAAGTTAGCAATTCTTTTACTTCAAACACTGTAAGTGTCTTGTGTCAACCGTGCAATCACAGGCTCCACGACGATCACGATTTGCCGGTAAAATAGGTCATTTTCCATCACTACGCCACAACATACGCCGCCTAAAATGATTGTGCAAGTTATGCCATAAAATGTTGCGCAAGTCGTGGACTTGCGCACTATGAAATTTTCCGTGAAATTGTCGTAACTGAAATATTGCGCAGTAGAAATGATACGCAGCTTTTGCAATAAATTTTGGCACAAGTGGACTCATGCCATTGCATAAAGTTTCATGAAATTGGCTGCAGGATCTTACATTCCAAAATTTTAGGATACTCCTCAGAAACTGAGGAGGTTTTTGAATTCAAGGAAATGATGGAAATTTGTGGATAAAAATTGGAAAACTTTGCAAAATTACAACAAAGTTTGGGATGAAAATGACACAATTTTGAAGGAAATAGAAGTTGAAGGTTCTATGGCCCAGAGTCCCCTGGAAACCAAACTTCTTCATACTGTTGTTGTTTTTTTTGTTTTTTTTAAATTAGGCTAATATAAAGTAATAATACCTGAGTTGGATCATCCTCTATATTTTCCAATTTGGAAGGAAGTGTCCTTCCGGACGCCTTCATCTCGGCGTAGTATGTGATGGTGCTAGTGTGCCACACCTTGGATATCGAACGGCCCAGACCCATAGCGGAATACACCTACATTGGACAGGAACACATATCAAAATAAGGCCAAAAAAAAAAAATCTCCGGTTTCTGGTATGGAGCTTGTCCAAAAAGTGGTCGGCGACGCAACTTTTTTTTTTTTACCTGTTTTTTTTTGCTTCAAATGTCGACTGATGACTGCAAATGGTGCCCGACTAAACTTAGTGCAAATATATGGGAGTCCAGAGAGGCCACATAAAGCTTATTCTCGATCATAACCCCATCTAAAAACACGTTAAAATTGTGCAGCAGCAGGATTCCAGTCAAACCAGTGAGTTTGGCGGTTTTGAGACATCATCTTTCATTGAAAAAAAACTTTTTCATTTTGCCGACGCGCATGGCTACGGCTACGCACGCGCATACCAGAAACCGGAGACTTTTTTTTTTGGCCTAAGGTTCAGGAGTAAATTAACAAAATGGTAAAATCCTGAGTGGAAAATAAGAAGGACTGTATTAAGGACGTAACATCAGTTTTTAAACAGTCGACCCTTCCCCAAAATTTTCATCCAAATTAAACTGAAGGCCATCTCTTACAGAACCTGTTGTGTCCTCAGTTTTTTCCACCTTAAAATTCTGTTTGCCATCAGTTTTGACACATAACAAATCTTTAAGCTTAAGTCGGTTTTTTTTGGACAGTTTAAAAAACTACAATCGTGCTTGAATATACACATTCAAAGGAATGAAGAAGTTTTTCCCACAGCAGAAATAGCATACTGCACTCTGCATTTTGATAAATAACTCAGTCTGACGTCTATATGCTATATTCTGTCGTTGGAGTTCCTTTTGATTTGTTTTCCACTGTACCCGTTACTTAAAAGAAGCTCTGGCAAACTCGTGACTCAATTTGTTTGGCTAGTTAGCAAATGGGAGAGCAGCTATAGCAGAATCCAGGTATGTGATCACACTGTACACTCCCAAGGCCCCCTTCAATGGAGAAACTATTGCGCTTGCTATTGTACAAAGCAACTGCCAAGCGACGGATTATCCATACAATACATATAGCTAACCAATGCTTTCGCCATTGAAGGGGCCTTCGTGATAGTATTGATATCGGGCCCGGATTGGACTATATGCAAATGTATGCTTACTCTAGATGAGAACACGTCAAGAACATACACATCCATGTTTTGAAATTCTCCCTTTGTCCCTGTACCTTTCGATCCTCGTCCACAACCATGTCAAATGGGCACCCGGTGATCCCCAACCACTGTAGAGCGCCCTCTCGTGAGCCAAACGAGACAACCAGGATGTGGCCTCCCCAGCGGGCGATGTCCTCAGCACGTTGCTGGAGTTGGGCCACGTGGTCGCGTCACGGTAGTCAGGCAAAGTGGCGCAGGAGGACCACGATGACGTGTCCTTTGGATAGGTAACTCCCAATTGTGCTTGGTCTATGGGAAGTTTTTTTTTAAAATATCTGTTTTATGCAAAATCATAATTACAGAATATGTGCAATTGAACACACAAACAAATTTTGGCCAAACGATCTACCGTAGTAGAGGGGTCAAGAAAATTCGAGAAAAATTCCTGCTCCAAAGGAACTAATATGGATTGCTTTTATATGATTAACATTATTCAAATTAGGTTTTGCCCTTCACCGACGTTTAAACACTGTATACTCAGTGTGTTACCTCCCGAGTGAAAGATGGAAAAAATCACTCGGGTGGGACTCGAACCCAGACCTACTGCTTTCTAGTGCAGATGTCTTACCACTCGACCACCGAGCTAACGGGATCGGTTGGCTGGTTCGAATCTGATGTACATAGCAGCGGGTACCGCATAAACTATGCGGTACCCGCTGAATAGTTAACATTATTTTTATTTAGGTCACATTTCATGACATATTACGGACCTTTCAAATGTTATTTCTTTTGGAGTTCCTTGTCTTCAGTCATACCATGTTTGAAAATGTTTCATTTCATGATTTCCACATGACAAGACAGCTAGCAACTTAAAAGTTTCCACATTCAATACAAAATAAATTTGTTTGAATTGTGTCTCTTTATTAGTAAAAGTCTCAACCTTTAAAACGTAAGTAACAATTTATTTTACAGGTCTTGAAAGGCAAGTTATTACTAAGAATATTGGCAAGGTGTTATGGCAACACTTATTAAGTTGAATAAGATGTCACCTGTTTACGGATCCAAAAGCTAAATCGCTCATGTAAGACCTCATCAGTAAAACATAATGGGTAATTCCAGCATTACGAAAGAAAGTGTAATAATAATAATAATAATAATAATAATAATTTGGGAGGCTATCATCCTTACTCGCAGCTGGTATGCTGAATTGCGTAGGACGCGGCTACAACGTGGTCAGGCCGCTGGCACGTAAAGGCGCCTATGGCTGCCGGCCACATCGACCCATATATGACCACGGAACACAGCCTGAGATCGAAAGTGTTTGATTTTTCCGGAGGGAGGAAAACCGAAGGGCCCAGAGAAAAACCCACGTGGCACTGGAGAGAACCAACGCACAACTCTACTCACATGCGATCCGCGGCCAGGATTCGAAACGTGGTCACCTTGGTGAGAGGCGAGCGCTTTACGCACAAGCCACCCATGCCACCCCTTACGTGACACAGCCAATTTGGGCGTGACACAGCCAATTTACCAAGATGTCTAATTGATGAGTCAAAGAAATGACCCAAAACTCTTAGTCAGTAATCTCCTTGACCATTACTGGATGATGGATGTGTAAGATTTGAAAAATACATTTTTAGGTTTATTCACTAAGCTCTTAAAAGCTCCGTCACGGACATTACAGAGCTTGGGGTTTTGTATAACTAGGCACCTTCCAACTTTTAACATTTATGTATGCATTACTTGAATTTTCACTAGGTTAAATCCACACTGCACAGAGTTTGGAGTCAGGGAACCCACCTGCCTGTTCTGGCGTCTTTTAGCTCAATGTCACATGGTCCCGGGGAGCCAATAGATAGGCTGGATTGGGCTTCACCCTTCGATAGTTGTGATTCCGTGTCTTTGAGGAAGGCATTCCAATCACTCTGCACAATTTGATAAGATAATACAAGGAAGCTAATTTCCATGTTCAAAAACATATTTGGTCTGTTGGCAGTTTCTGCAGTTTGCCATTTAAAGCTAGAGTCCATCATTTGCAGCCATCCGAAAAGTAACTGGCGTAATTATTGTTGAAAAATAAACTTGGTTGAAAGATAGTAAGGGAACTAAACTCCCTGTGAAATTATTCTTTCTGGGAAGCTGTCATTTTGAAGTAATCAACGAAAGAAGGCATTTCCAACGGTGATTCTTAAGAAGCACCGTAGGAAAATTTAAATTAGTAGTTCGTTTTGTTATTCAGCTCAGCGCGCACAAGTATTGGAACGACGCACACACGCGCGCGGTTGTTATAATTCGTCGGATCAGTGCGCGATGTCGCGTATAGCTGCAATTCAAAACAATTCAAAACATGATTCAGTAACTTTTGATTTGAAATTGAGATCTTAGAATGCTGTTTTTCTCGGAATGTACAGCTGAAGCTTAGCTGAAACTTCATCAGGTTAGTTGCTCAGTATCCTTCATTAGATTTTGAACTCTTTTGTTGCTTCAAAGAAACAAATGCACAAATGACATGATGGACTGTAGCTTTAAACAGCCCTGGTTGGACTTGAGCCACATTATTAGAGGCAACTATTGACCAGTGTTATAGTCGTGTCTGTCACAAGCATCACAAGTCCTCCCAAATATTATAACAAGTGGAGTGTCATGGCCTAGCGGTTAAGAGCACCTGACTCATGCTCTGGTGTTTCAGAGGCAGCAGTGGCATGGGTTCGAGCCCGGGTGTGGTCCATCAGAAAGTCCTTCAGACTCCAGTCAAACCACTACATTTTCAAATGAACTGTTACAAAAGCATTCCTTTGTCATTGTTCATCCCGTTACTTGTGACTGGACTGATGAAAGGACTTGTGACTGGTCTCGTGAAAGGACTTGTGATGGACTCGACTACAACACTGAGCTGAAGACTGTTTGAAAAACAAATATTTTTTTCATTCAATATTGGGTTGTGCCCTTTCACAGACGTATTTGTTTCTTAACTTCCTTACCATACCTCTAAATCATCCAGCTCTTCAACAGCATTCTGGATTTCTTGATATCGGTAGAAACGTCCCAGCACTTCATCCAAGGCCTTCCTTGTGATGACTCCCAACCTTTAGTTTGTTAAAAAAGGAAAATCATGTTGAAAATTGAAGGTCAGAATTCTAAACACGCAAAGTCCATGTAAGGTTCATCATGTAGTAACCTTCCCCATTAAAGTTAAATTAAAGTTGTATTCGCTATTCAGTGTTCCAAACTGAAATTCCCCAGGTCAATTTTTCAACAAGGATCAATAGCTCAATGAATACATGTTGTAGTAATGACAGGTGCTGACTTTTAATGAGCCTCTCCTCTAAACAAAGATACTGTAAAATACAAAGACTGCAAACATACAAGATCACTACACCAGCATTCAAATCTCACCAGCCAACCGATCCTGCAAGCTGGATGGTCGTGTGGTAAGACGTCTGCGCTAGAAAGCAGAAGGTTGTGGGTTCGAGTCCCAACTGAGTGATTTTTTCCAACTTTTCCTTTAGAGAATAACACACTGAGTATACAGTGTTTATACGTCGGTGAAGGGCAAAACCTAATACTGATTTACATCACCCGGACGCAAATTCCATCTTATGAATAAATCTCACTTTTGTTGATTTTCTCTCATTCCTTTGAAAATACCTCCTAAATTTAGATTTACTGGATCAAACAGATATTGAAGCTGCCTCCAGTACCACAATGCTCAAAAAGATATAGTTCTACTCGTTTTTTTTTTCTCATTTCAATCTATGCAATTACATGTAGTGTAACACTAGTTTTAAACTCATTAGACCCTGTTCGGGAGGATTTCCAGCAAAAATGCCCGGGGTTGCAAGGCATTAATTATTTACATTTATTTAGGAATTCCTCTTTTTAAAAAAAAAGGCACTGTGTAAAAGCAGTATGAAATAGAACAGTATATAATGTATATTTACCTCAGAAATGCTTCGCAGTATAAACCTATACTGGCTCCGAGTGCATTCACATTGCTTGATGCAAAGTCTTGCAGTGAATCTGGAATATTTGGCACAGAGAAGCACAGACAATGAAGATCAACAAACTTCAAACAGACAGATACATTATAATTACATTTTGATATAAAACAAAAACACTTGTGCTCCTGGTTCGATTCCCGTGGATGTTCGGTAAGCAAATATCTGATTAATAACAGACAAGGGTACAGAAGGAAGAGGTGAGAGTCAAGGAGAAAAAGTCGAGAAACAACGACATAGGACGTACATGTGTAACTTTTTGACGCTTCAAAATTTATATAGCGATGCCCGTGTACTGAAATCTTTCCACCAAACTTACCAAATACCACTTTAACAATTTATTATTAACCACAATTTGAATGTTGACCCTGTTGTGCCCATTCTTGAAAATCACGCATTCTTAAGAATGTGCATGCACATTCTTAAGAATGTGCAACTGGATCCTTGCGCAATCTTCGCAAAAAATAACTCTTCCAGATTGAGCGCACATTCTTAAGAATGTGCGACAAGATAACGGTCTTGTCGATGCCGAGCACCGGCTGCGCTTGGCAAGTCTAGCTGCATCCTCGTTCACTGATTCTCAATAATTATACTGTTGCAACGCAAGGCGCTGAAAAGTAGAGTGAATATGATAAGTATAGGCGTATTGATATGGTGGGGGGGGGGGGGGGGGGGACCGGGAAAAAATAAGAGACATAATAATTCTAGTGGAAAGAATTCTGATTTTTGGGATAATAAAAGGGGGGGGGGGGAACGTAAGAATGAAGAATGTGAAGAATGAGAAAGAATACTGCGACATCCCATAGTGCTAATGCTATTTCCCATTTAAATTGCCACCAATTTATTGTTTACACCCCACCATTACGTCGCAGAGCTGGATTCTATAGTCAAAAGAGCAATTTTGGCAGCTTCTGGACATCGTTTTTTTTTCGTGGCATGCATATATGATACATACAGGGACTTGTAACTTGTCTTGCCTAAACAAAGCACTTCCCAGACTAGTTCCCAGTCCTCCGTTATTACAAAACTTCCCATTATAGTGGGCAGAAAAAAGCAATAATAACAGGTTTAATTTGATTCAAATTATCGTAGTTATACGAGTACAGAAGCATAGAACATTTTCTTTCCTCTTTATATGAATTGTTTCCTTTTAGTTTTAACCGCTATACATTTCATTTAACATAATTATGTCGTGCAATGTTTGTTAAGATTGCACAAAATTCATAAATTGTGCACGTGATATTCCCACCCAATCTTAAGAATGAGCGCTCATTCTTAAGAACGCGTGCTCATTCTTAAGAATGCGCGCTCATTCTTAAGAATGCGCGCGCATTCTTAAGATTGCGTGATTTTCAAGAATGGGCACAACAGAGTCATTGGCAGGAGGGCGCTCTCTATACTTTTTGACAAGTTATTGTTTTATTTGTTTAGCCATTCTACCTCCATGGTTTAGCTAACCCCTGAAAATTACTCCCTGCATACCTTTTGCTTGTTTTCTGGCGGATTCCAAAAGCCTGGCCACTTCCTTCGTAAGACTATGCAAAACATTTACCACCAATGATTTGTCGACGGTGGCATCTTCGTCATTTTCACCTGCCATTTGTGGCAAAGTTTTGTCTGTGAAGCCGCTCTGTAGCAACCTCGTATCCAGGGTGTCGAACAGTACGCGCCCACCACTACCTGCTCTCATTGGAAACGCGGTTGGAAATAAAGTAAGCACTGGGGACGAGGTTGGCTCTGTAGTTCTTCTCTTCGTTTTTTTTTTAGTGAAGCGCCCTCTTGTGACAAGGCATAGTCTTACGTTAAAACTTTTGAGATTAAAAGGCTTGCTATGCCCCATGTTCTTAAAAAAAAAAGCCCCACAAATTTCTGCAGACGAATTTTTAGCCAAACGACACTACTTAAGTCCAATTTTGGTTGTTTACAAACCTTAGAAAAAAGGGCTTTCATTTTGCGCACAAATTAACCCGCCCTACGATCGAGAGTCAAATTTTGTGAAGAAATAACTGATTCAACAACTAAACGTCCCTAGAATGTTTTCGTTCGACGTCTCATTCAAAAGTGAATAACTGTGTCATAGTGACCAACTAATAAACTCAGGAAATCATTCATCTACAATTGTCAAATTTCAGAATTCATTCCCCATCAGTTTAATATTACGAAAACACATCAGCAGTCGTAATTATACCGATTGCTCCTCACATATGTATAAAAAAAAGGTTTACAAAAGTAGCTGATAATAACTTAAGTGAATACAGAATTCCATGTACACATTGAATAACTTTTAATATATTTTCAGTAGGAAGGCGCAGGCTAGATCATTTACTAGTACTTCATTTTTGTATGACTTCTCATAAACAGCCTTATCAGTAAAACAATTTATGTTGTGCACAGATACTAAATGAGCAGTAACTGTTTACAAATGTTTACAACAGAACAAACATAAACATCAAGTTGCAATGTCTCCTTGGTCTTGGTGTTCGATAGATTGAGAAGTTTAATGGTATAACTTAAGAGGACTGACTTTTTTATCGGAAGTTATACAATTCCAACAGTGATGATTCCCAACCAGCACCAAAATCTCAACCACCACAGCAGTAATTTTCCACCGTTTTAGTTATTTCTAAGAAAACAGTTGAACACTTTACCAAGGCATTTATTTTCCTCCCACTTATCTTCATGATTCAGCAGCATCATTAAGCTGGCTGGATGGAATATACATATAATGTTCATACAAATGATAAAGAGCCATGGCATGGTCAAAGCAAACACAAGAGACTGAGTTTTGTCCAATCTCATTGCAATTACACAATGAATATGAGATTTAAAGTATATTTGGTTTACACAATAAGTTAATTGAATCCTTCAAAATATACATGTTATCAACAAGGCACAAGTTTTGTGATTAATTTGGGTATAAAAAAGGCAGTAGGTGTCACATTATATATTCAAAACTTCTACTTAAGGCACTACACAGTGTATATCTTCACTCATTTCAGGTTTATTGGGTGTAGAAGAGGGGAGAAAAAAATGTAAGATAATGAAGATAGAAATTCATGTGAAACAGGAATATCGAGAATGATGATCAATCGAATTTAGTTGACGTTAAAAGTTACAATGGATACATTTAATTCTAGAAAATAAATAAGAGCTGGAGTTAGACACACTTTTCAGGTGTTGTTTTTTTATTCATTAGAAAAAAAAAGGAATACACGTGTAAAAGTAGTCCCAACATTTCTAACAGCCTCAAACTCACTAATTACAAGACAAAAATATTACAAAGTACAAAATAATCATCAAAATTGCAATGTCACTGGATACTTCAGATGCAGAACTACCAGGGATGAAGTCGAGTCCATCACAAGTGCAGTCACAAGTAAATCACAAGTCCGGTCACAAGAAACAGTAGATGAACAATAACAAAGGAATGCCTTTGTCAACGCTCATTGGAACAGCTTAGTGATTTGAAATGACACTGGAAGAGTTGCAATGATGGACTTGCAGGCACTTGCAGGGACTTGTGATAGACTCGACTACTTCCCTGGGAAACCAGCCAGCTGGGAAGCGTACGTTATAATTCCGTCCTGTATAGTGGCTCTGCATCCATGTCAACGGCTGTGAAGGACATATGACCCACAACAGGGTATTTGGCCATGTACACCTCCCTGAAGACTTTATCCAGCGAGTCGAGTTCTTCTTTGGAGAGGCCGGTCTGCCAGAAAGAGCAAAAGAGAAAAAATGTCTGAAATTATAACAAGATTGAGACCTTTCTGAGACCTGTTTAGACTTCTTTATATTATCTTTTAAAAGTTGTTGTTTTTCTCCAAACAAATTTTCAATTTGCATGTTTTGTTTTAACAAAAAAAACACCTACCTTTCCCACTTTTTGGCACCTGCAAACCTCTGAAAAAGGGCTTTAATTTTGCAGACAAATGAATTGAGCCGAATTATTGTCTGACAGCTAATAATTTGAATTTTGTGAGGAAATAATTCAATAGCTAAACATTGGTGATTTTTTTCAGTCAATGTCTCATCCAAGAGTGAATAACTATTATATTGCTTAGCTAGGGAAAAAGCAAAGGAAACAAAATGTATATATTGATTTTATCCATCCTGTCAATGAAATTTTTGCTGTTGGATGTTGTAGGAATAAAACAAAATTTAAAACGTAATTATTGTCTTCAGCCAAGTGCTTACCAGCTTCAACTAAGGGGAGCCTTTTACATACACTGGATTCAGACCTTCAATGTAAAAGTAATGAGTCATTCAAATTTAAAAGACTGAATACATAGAATGGAGAAGACAAAAACGTTCCCTTACAACATCTGCAGTAAGGTCTTGAGGGTCCAGTGACATCTTAGCAACTGCTCTTGTGCAGTCCTTGCCCGCCAGAGGATTGTATGTGGCTCCTTTCCCATAGAATTCTAGACCAAAAAGTAGAAAGTTCTGATTCGGCACACTTAACATTCTGAGAAAATTGCACATATATAATAATTCTAAATGGCTGTGCCATACCTTGTGATATTTAGGTCAGTGCAATTAACCGTACCTGGGAATTTTCATGGTTTGGTATAGGCCAATGTTTGTTGTTGTTTGAACGAGTCCAAATTATATATTCATCTTATCTTTGTATCTGCATATCAAATCCTTGAAAATACAAATACGTGTTTATATGACTAACTGTTGAATGCACTAATGTTTGTATGAATATTCAATAAATTAAAAAAAACATATACAGACTTACCCTTCCCTGATGTTACATCAAAGACAACACCTTTCACAGCCAAGTAAATTGGCCTACCTTCCTAGGGGTAAAATATAAACAAAAATCATAATTTCAAATACACAATTTACTATTTAAAGTAAAAGGTAATAATTTTATATACAAGTTTTACAATGATTGCTTTTGTTGTTTTTCAGAAATGGACAAATTTGGGGTAAGTATTTTACATCAAACATCGTTCCACTGACCTATTTAAAGTTTTGTGTAATCATGGAGGCCGAAAAAACAATGGGAAGAATTCCATACATCACTAATTTTTTCCTACTACAGTGACTGACATGTATGATGTATATTTATCAGCCATCAGAAAGTACAACCTGTCCTATAAAAAATTAAAGCAGGGAACTTTTAAGGCATTTTGAATTGATTTACTGAGAAAACACGACATACAGGGTGGCAACTGTTATTCCGAGTAACTAGGACTCTATGAATCGCTTTTTTAACATTGTCCAAATGTTAAAAAAGGGATTCGTAGAGTCCTAGTCATGCTAGTTACTCGGACGAGGCAACTGTCGGTAATCCTTACTTTTAGGACCCCTTTCCTATATAAGGTTAAAAGACTCACCAAAACAGCTGACTATGACACTCAAAAGTGACATTCTGATATTTATTGACACATTTGAACATTTGGCAATGACACCTCTTGAATATCAGCAGGTTTGATTTTGTAGAAAGAGGGCAGGGTTTTGATTTACACTGTATGAGGGGTTAAAGACGACGATGACAAACAGAAAATAAATTTAAAAAGCAAGATGGCGAACTGCAAAAAAAGGTAGGAAAGTCACATTTTCTTTGAAAGTGCTTTCAAAATTATAACTAACATGAGTTTGTCTGAAGAAAAAAGACTTCTTTAGCCTGCAAAAGTCACTTTGGTACTGGACAGTCATCTGCAAAAGTCAGTTTTGAACAGAACTCGTACAAAATAGAGGTGTCCTAAAACTAAAAGTAAGGATTACCCAACTGTCAAGTGCTTTGCTACTTAAACATAATTTATCCAAATGGCTAAAAATAACGTTATACACCCACACACACGACTGATTTTGCTTACAAAAGATCCATCATAGACTGACAGGTCTTCATCAGTGAAAGCACGCATCGGCTTCTCTTGAAACTTCAAGTTCATTTTGTTTTCATGTTCATCATGTTCATCATGTTCATCGTCGTCTGCTGTCTTTTTTGCTGATGTGTCTTTCTCTGAGTCTGAGGCCAATGCATTTGGAAAGATCATGCAAACTAACAAACAAAATAAGACAACAAATGCTGGCGATGTATTCGACAAAACCCGTAGTTCCATAACTGAAGAAAAATAACACAAAGTTGAAAATAAACAGAACTTCCAGACGTAAATTTGGACCAGGCTGATCTTGGCACGAAAATCGGGCCGGATTTTCGGCTGGCCGGATTTTCGGCTAGGCACTATTTTTACGGCGGCGCACCGCCGTGAGGATTAATTGCCACTACGGTGGCCCTAAACAGTCATTGCAAATGCACATTAGGAGAAAACGAATTATAAAGGAAGTTCAACTTCTTATCACGGTGGATTACCTTAAATAACTGAAAATGTTGTTTATTCGACTCTAAAGTAAATCGTAATGAAGACTGTGGCAATTGTTTTTCACAATTGGGAATGTTAATGTTATAAATGTTAACGTTACTGAACTAAGGTTCTGCCTTATAGCCGATGAGAGGGCGCTATATCCGCCAGACTACTCCTTGAGTAGTGTTGCGTTGCGGGAAGGACCGGGTCCCATGCATGAGTCCCGGGGGGGGGGGGGGGTTGCCTGATTTCATATCTTTCTTTCCTGTTTTTGCAAAACTTTCCATTTTTTTCATAGAAATTAATACTCATAAGGCCTGGCCGTGATCATCTTTTCCCAAAATACATGGTTGTTTAGTGCCCTCTACGATACTTTTATGACACGTACGTACACAGGTATTATAATAATTGTAAAATGATTTTGTAACCTCCTAAATGCCGGAAATTTCCCGTTCCAATTGCTTACACGGGTTCAGGGACATCCAAAGTGTATTCTATTCGCGCCCGAATAAACCAGTATTGAAACAGAGTCAGCCCAATGAAATTAATCCGACAATTAATAATTACGATACAAAAGACCGGTTTTCCAAAGAAAATACGGATGTCCCATTTTGAAATGATTTTGTACCATCCTAAATGTCCGAAATGGCCCGTTCCAATTGCATACACGGGTTAAGGGACATCCCAAGTGTATTCTATTTTGCGCCCCGAATAAATCAGTATTGAAACAGAGTCATCCCAATTAAATTAATCCAACGATTGATAATTACGAAACAAAACAGCCGTTTTCCAAAGAAAATACGGATATCCCATTTTGAAATGATTTTGTACCATCCTAAATGTCCGAAATGTCCCGTTCCAATTGCATACACGGGTTAAGGGACATCCAAAGTGTTTTCTATTTGCGCCCGGAATAAATCAGTATTGAAACAGAGTCATCCCAATTAAATTAATCAGACGATTGATAATTAACGTACAAAACATTCGTTTTCCAAAGAAAATACGGATATCCCATTTTGAAATGATTTTGTACCATCCTAAATGTCCGAAATGTCCCGTTCCAATTGCATACACGGGTTAAGGGACATCCAAAGTGTTTTCTATTTGCGCCCAAAATAAATCAGTATTGAAACAGAGTCAGCCCAATTAAATTAATCCGACGATTGATAATTAACGTACAAAACATTCGTCTTCGAAAGAAAATACGGATATCCCATTTTGAAATGATTTTGTACCATCCTAAATGTCCGAATTGTGCCGTTCCAATGGCATACACGGGTTAAGGGACATCCAAAGTGTATTCTATTTGCGCCCCGAATAAATCGGTATTGAAACAGAGTCAGCCCAATTAAATTAATCCGACAATTGATAATTAACTTGCAAAACAGTCGTTTTCAAACGAAAATATGGGTATCCCATTTTGAAATGATTTTGTATTATCGTAAATGTCCGAAATGTCCCGTTTCAATTGCATACATGGGTTAAGGGACTCTCAAAGTGTATTCTATTTGCGCCCAAAATAAATCAGTATTGAAACAGAGTCAGCCCAATTAAATTAATCCGACGATTGATAATTAACGTACAAAACATTCGTCTTCGAAAGAAAATACGGATATCCCATTTTGAAATGATTTTGTACCATCCTAAATGTCCGAATTGTGCCGTTCCAATGGCATACACGGGTTAAGGGACATCCAAAGTGTATTCTATTTGCGCCCCGAATAAATCGGTATTGAAACAGAGTCAGCCCAATTAAATTAATCCGACGATTGATAATTAACTTGCAAAACAGTCGTTTTCAAACGAAAATACGGGTATCCCATTTTGAAATGATTTTGTATTATCGTAAATGTCCGAAATGTCCCGTTCCAATTGCATACATGGGTTAAGGGAATCTCAAAGTGTATTCTATTTGCGCCCCGAATAAATCAGTATTGAAACAGAGTCAGCCCAATTAAATTAATCCGACGATTGATAATTAACTTACAAAACAGTCGTTTTCCAACGAAAATACGGGTATCCCATTTTGAAATGATTTTGTACCATCGTAAATGTCCGAAATGTCCCGTTCCAATTGCATACATGGGTTAAGGGACTCTCAAAGCGTATTCTATTTGCGCCCAAAATAAATCAGTATTGAAACAGAGTCAGCCCAATTAAATTAATCCGACGATTGATAATTACGATACAAAACAGCCGTTTTCCAACAAAAATACGGATATCCCATTTTGAAATGATTTTGTACCATCCTAAATGTCCGCAATGTCCCGTTCCAATTACACACACGGGTTAAGGGACATCCAAAATGTATTCTATTCGCGCCCCGAATAAATCCGAACTGAAACAGTGTCAGCTCAATTAAATTAATCCGACGGTTGATAATTACGAAACAAAACAGCCGTTTTCCAAGGAAAATGCAGATATCCCATTTTGAAATGATTTTTGTACCATCCTAAATGTCCGAAATGTCCCGTTCCAATTACATACACGGGTTAAGGGACATCCAAGATGTATTCTATTCGCGCCCCGAATAAATTGGTATTGAAACTGAGTCAGCCCAGTTAAATTAATCCGACGATTGACAAATAATGTACAAAACAGCAGTTTTCCAAAGAAAATACGGATATCCCATTTTGAAATGATTTTGTACCATCCTAAATGTCTGTAATGTCCCGTTCCAATGGCGTACACGGGTTAAAGGACATCCAAAGTGTATTCTATTTGCGCACCGAATAAATTGGTATTGAAACAGTGTCAACCCAGTTAAATTAATCCGACGATTGAATAACCTGGGCAGTTCTGCACAAACTATACCTTGTTCGGAAGCTTGCGATGAGGCCCACAAGCTGGCAAAAGGACAAGTCCTGAAACCCAGCAGTTGCGGAGAAAATTCAAGATTTAGCGCATCAATTCCAGTAGTACCCCTATGTGCAGTCAGTCTATACAGCAATGCCTGCAAGCGCCCGCGACACGAACTTCGTATATCGCGGTCTAAAGGTACCTTAACCTGGGCAGTTCTGTACAAACTATACCTTGTTCGGAAGGTTGTGATGACTCCAACAAGCTGGCAAAAGGACAGGTCCTGAAACCCAGCAGTTGCGGAGAAAATTCAAGATTTAGCGCATCAATGCCAGTAGTACCCCTATGTGCAGTCAGTCTATACAGCAATACCTGCAAGCGCCCGCGACACGAACTTCGTATAACGCGGTCTAAAGGTACCTTTACCTGGGCAGTTCTGCACAAACTATACCTTGTTCGGAAGCTTGTGATGAGGCCCACAAGCTGGCAAAAGGACAGGTCCTGAAACCCAGCAGTTGCGAAGAAAATTTAAGATTTAGCGCATCAATGCCAGTAGTATCCCTATGTGCAGTCAGTCTATACAGCAATGCCTGCAAGCGCCCGCGACACGAACTTCGTATATCGCGGTCTAAAGGTAACTTAACCTGGGCAGTTCTGCACAAACTATACCTTGTTCGGAAGCTTGTGATGAGGCCCACAAGCTGGCAAAAGGACAGGTCCTGAAACCGAGCAGTTGCGGAGAAAATTTAAGATTGAGAGCATCAATGCCAGTAATACTCCTATGTGCAGTCTGAATATACAGCAATGCCTGCAAGCGCCCGCGACACGAACTTCGTATATCGCGGTCTAAAGGTACTTTAACCTGGGCAGTTCTGCACAAACTATACCTTGTTCGGAAGCTTGTGATGAGGCCCACAAGCAAGCAAAAGAACAGGTCCTGAAACCCAGCAGTTGGGGAGAAAATTTAAGATTGAGAGCATCAATGCCAGTAGTATCCCTATGTGCAGTCAGTCTATACAGCAATGCCTGCAAGCGCCCGCGACACGAAATTCGTATATCGCGGTCTAAAGGTACCTTTACCTGGGCAGTTCTGCACCAACTATACCTTGTTCGGAAGCTTGTGATGAGGCCCACAAGCTGGCAAAAGGACAGGTCCTGAAACCCAGCAGTTGCGGAGAAAATTCAAGATTTAGCGCATCAATGCCAGTAGTACCCCTATGTGCAGTCAGTCTATACAACAATGCCTGCAAGCGCCCGAGACACGAACTTCGTAAATCGCGGTCTAAAGGTACCGTAACCTGGGCAGTTCTGCACAAACTCTACCTTGTTCGGAAGCTTGTGATGAGGCCCACAAGCTGGCAAAAGGACAGGTCCTGAAACCCAGCAGTTGCGGAGAACATTCAAGATTTAGCGCATCAATGCCAGTAGTACCCCTATGTGCAGCCAGTCTATACAGCAATGCCTGCAAGCGCCCGCGACACGAACTTCGTAAATCGCGGTCTAAAGGTACCGTAACCTGGGCAGTTCTGCACAAACTCTACCTTGTTCGGAAGCTTGTGATGAGGCCCACAAGCTGGCAAAAGGACAGGTCCTGAAACCCAGCAGTTGCGGAGAAAATTTAAGATTTAGCGCATCAATGCCAGTAGTACCCCTATGTGGAGTCAGTCCATACAGCAATGCCTGCAAGCGCCCGCGATACGAACTTCGTAATTATACCTTGTTCGGAAGCTTTTGATGAGGCCCACATACTGGCAAAAGGACAGGTCCTGAAACCCAGCAGTTGCGGAGAAAATTCAAGATTTAGCGCATCAATGCCAGTAGTACCCCTATATGCAGTCAGTCTATGCAGCAATGCCTGCAAGCGCCCGCGACACGAACTTCGTATATCGCGGTCTAAAGGTACCGTAACCTGGGCAGTTCTGCACAAACTATACCTTGTTCGGAAGCTTGTGATGAGACCCACAAGCTGGCAAAAGGACAGGTCCTGAAACCGAGCAGTTGCGGAGAAAATTTAAGATTGAGAGCATCAATGCCAGTAATACTCCTATGTGCAGTCAGAATATACAGCAATGCCTGCAAGCGCCCGCGACAC